GTAACTTGACGCCCGTCACAGTTGGCAGCTGCAGCCGCCTCGCCACCGTGAAAAGCGGCGGCCGCGCCAAGAGCGACAGGTGTCGGCCGTGCCTTTGTCCCCGCGGCTTTGTCCTGCGGGCGGCGTCGGGTTGGTGACCGCCAGATGCCCGCGCCGCCCATCTGCCGCCCGCCTGCCCAGCGGGGGCCGGGGCGAGAGGCGCAAGGGGGGCCCTGGCCTTGAGTCAGCTGCAGACAGCGCCCCAGCGCGGCACCCCACACCCTCCCGCCTTCCAATGGAGTCCTGACGCCAGTTGTCCGCAAGCGGCCGGCCCCCAGCACTCCTTGACCCATCTCTGTGGACTCTTCTGGGTGACTCCAGTCCCCCGGCCCCTCTGCTGGGCCGCACAATCCATTAGGAACTGGAAGCGTCAGGTCTGGTCTGACCCAGCAAGGCTATGGCCAACCCGCCTCAAGGGCACTCTGGCCCCCTCCCGGCCCCTCCCGGCCCCCTATGTTTCCAGCAGATCCTGGGCCTTTGGGTGGGAGTGAAAGGGGAGAAGCGCATGAATGTAACTGGAAGGCGGGTATGGGGACAGGGCTGGGCAAATGCTCCCCGTTTGGGTGGACAGCCCTCCCATGGACTTTCTACCTCCTGCCCAGGGGGACAGCACGGGCTTGAACCGGCCTCTGTGAGCAACCACCTGGAAGCCACGTGGGCCTCAACCTCCTCTTCTGTGCTCCACCTCTCCGTTGCTCCTGAGGTCTGTGTACCCAGTGTCTTGTCTCCCCCATAAGTGGAAAGAGCTCAGTTCACTGCCCCACACCCTGCACTGGCTGCTCTGAGATGTGGGAACCCTCCTTCCCTTGACTGGGGGTGACAGGGTAGTGTGGTGACCTGGAGTGTAGGCCCATCGGTAGCTGTGACCTTACCCTCCTCACCAGGATTTGGATGTGACCCCACTAAAGGATACCCACCAGTGACCAAAATTCACTGAGAAGAAATGTGAAAATAAACACTGTATTTTTGCATTCATGTTTGTGAATGGATTTATTCTCTTCCCATTATCTAAGTGAAGAGGAAGCAAGTGTTCCAGAATGTTCTTTATGAAGGCACAGGGATTCTGGGGGAAGAAGCCTCTATGAAAAGAACAACTGCACAACTGTCTGGGTGGGAGACAAAGCAAGAGGGAATGGTAAGGCAAAAGGTGGAAACAAAAAATGAAAAGGCATTAAGAACTCCAGCAAAAGCAAATATCCAGACAAGAAAGAAAATGGAAAGCTGCAACTCCTTGGGTTCTTTATAACAATGTAACGACCTGGCAACAATGAACAATGTAGCAATGATGTATTAATATGGCAACAACGTAACATCAAGGCCAAGGCTGCTCAGAGGGTTTTGAGTTTTAGAATCTATCTAGAGAGAAAGCAAAGCAAGTTTTCTTGTTCTTACTTGCTCTTAATAGATAGTTGAATTTGGAAAAAAAGAAGGCCAAGTGGCAGGAGGTGGGAGAGGGGGGAGACGGAAAGAGGGTTAGAGGCTTGAAGGGCTGTATCTTACAGAGCTTTGTAAAACACAGCCTGATTTTCCCTGAAGAGGAGACTGAGCGGGAGGCCTTGCCTGCCTGTCTCAAGGCTGACCATGACAGAGGACGCTGGGTGAGCTGAGTATGGACACAGGTCAGCCAAGTCCTTGGCTGCAGCCCAGACTGCAAGGTGCAAGGTCAGCCTCCTTTCTCAGTGGCCTGCTGCTCTTTTCTCCCCCCGCCTGGCTACTCCATTTGGGGGCCACCAGGCCCTGTGCCCTCCCTGGAGAGGCTCCTCAAGCAGATCCACTTCCTGCCATTTTTGCAGTAGTCTGCCTTCAAAGGTCCCACGAGCACAGACTTCCTGAGCATTTGGACCCTTTGATCCGCAGGTCCAGAAGAGCAGCCAGCAGAGGCTGGACAGGGCTGGAGTGGCCACGGGAGAGCCGGTTAGCAGCAGGGATGGCGGGCCATAAACCTGGGGAACAATGGCCGTGGCCAGCTGGCAGCTGCGGCCCAGCCCTCATGGGCAGTCTGCTTGGAGGACTGAGGAACTCCTTTTGGTTGGGAGGAGATGTGGGTGGGGTGCTGCTGGGGTTATGTGGAAACAGCAGTGCAATTCAGAGTCCGCAAGTCCCTAGAAACTGAGGGGACACACATCTGGCCCTTTGAGCCTCCAGTCTGAAGCACGGAGGACTTGGCCTTCTTGTCCACTGGTGCTGTGGTTCTGGGTCAGTGGTGTGCTTTGGTGGTGTGCTTCTGGCTCAGTGGTACGGTTCAGTGGTCTGGTTCTGGTTTGGTGGTGCAATCTGGTGGTGTGATTTGGTGGTGTAGTTCTGGTTCGGTAGTGTGGTTCTGGTTCAGTGGTGTGGTTGTGGTTCAGTGGTGCAGTTCAAGTGGACAGTCCTGCCAGGAAGCAGAGTGCAGCCTCCCTGTGCTCCAGCTTCCCTGGTCCCTTGCAGGGCAGTTTCTGAGGGGCTGGCACTGGGCCACTGGTGAACTCTAGGGACCTGGTGGACAAAGCAAGAGAGCAGGGGCAGGCCTCCAATGCCCAGTCAGGCCCTCACTCTGACCTGGCATCATCCCTGCTGCAAAGCTGGTGGGGGGACAGGGACAGTGCCCAGTGTTGAGGTCACCCCAGACCAAAGGGGAGCCCTGGAGGCTGAGCCAAACAATCACGTCCTTCTGTCTGCAGATGGAGGTTGGGATTACTGGGTGTGACTGGCATTTATAAAGCTCACTGTCCGCCTTTTAAAACACACACAGACGTGTGCACGTATGAGCACACACAGGGCCAGGTGGGCACATGCGTGCAGGGCAACTGACGGGCAGCAGGGTAGAACCTCGAAGGGACTGGACGGCATCTGGTGGACACGCACGGTGCAGACTCTAGAGTTAGTGTCTGGAGTTTTCCCTCTTTCACTTTGTCATTACCAACTCGCAGCCTCATCGGGTTTTCCGAGGCTGTAAGTCACCCAGGAGGGACCACCCATCCCTTCCCCAAAGAGCAGCTGGTGGATTTGAACCGCATGACTTGGGTTGGCAGGGCAGCTCCTTACCAGAGCACAGGTCAGGAGCTCCTTGTGTTTAGAGACTATTTTGACCTCTGCTGCGTCAGTCTCCTCAGCGGAACGTAGGTGACAGATAAGATTCCCACTGGCGGCTAAAATGGGGGGGCTGAGACCCCCACCCAGAGGGGCTTCAGAAGAGGTCAGGAGATCTGCTTCCTCAGGGTCACATCTGAGAACCCCCAGAGCAGCTCTACTCTGTGGACAGTGACAGCCACAGGTCAGAGGGTCCTAACAACAAAATAAATATATGCAATTAAAACCAAAAATATACTTGCTTTATTTACCAGTATTCTAAAAGGCCAAAAAGTCATATAAAGACACAAGCGGTCCAGAAAACACATCGCATAGTGGGCTGAAGGCTCGGTTTGCACAGGGAGGAACCACTGGTTCATTGAGACTCAGGAGAGCGTTTCCACCTATTTCTCCAAAGAGGTGAACAAGGAGGCGAGGGGGAGACAGGGAAGGCGGCCTGTCTGACCGCTGCAGTGTGCGCAGGTACTGAGCGGCCAAGGGGGCCTGTCTGACGCTGGGTGAGGAAGGGAAGGAGGCCTGTCTGATGCAGAGTGAGGACAGGAAGGCGGCCTATCTGACCGCCTGTGTGCAGGTGCTGAGTGGCCAAGGGGGCCTGTCTGACACAGGGTGAGGACGGGAGGGCGGCCTGTCTGACCACCTGTGCGCAGGTACTGAGTGGCCAGGCATGTAAACAAGTTCACCGAGTGCCCAGTGCCCGCTGAGCCAGCTTCTCAGGGGTGGAAGCAGGGCGGGGCAGGAGGCAAGGGCCGGCTCCTCGGCAGGACAGATGCCTACAGTTGGTAGTTTTGTCCTGCAGGGTGATGTGAAAGAGACTGCCTGGGCTTAGCTGCAGGTAATGACCCCAGTAGGACTGTCACAGAAGCCCTGTGTGAGGTCCTGGAGGTGACGTGCCTTTTGTAAGTTAGAAAACCAAGCAGTGTTCTTGTGTTTGGGGTTTTGAGTGAGGGGTGAAGATTCAGGTGGGAGACATCCAATGGAAGCCGCCTGAACTGGGAAGCCATTTCCACCCTCAGGACAAGGAAGTGTCTGCAGACAGCGTCTGCTTCTCAAGGCAACCACTTGACACAGTCCCCTGAACATCTTTATAAACAATCTTTGGGTTTTGGAAAAAAAATATTTGGCACAACTGGTCTCAGTCTCCTCAGGTGTCAGAAGGACCTGACAGTGTCAGGGATGCAGTGGACACCAGCCTGCAGTGATCAGCTGCTCCCCGTGGCGAGGACGGGCCGGCAGGAAGGCGAGGGCAGGTCTCCGGCCTGGGGACGCGATGCGGCCTGGGGACGCGGTGGCAGAGGAAAGCTCGCTGCACCCTGAGAACAACGGGTGCTCAAATGCTGGGGCGGATTCGTGGGTCCCAGGCGGAAAGCCACATCCAAGCAGGAGCCACACAAGCAGGAACATGGCCTCTGCTGACACAGGGTGTGGTGACAAATACGTGCAACTGTCACAAAGCTGAGTCCAGGTGGGCCGTGCTTCCTGGGTCATCTGCTCAAATGGTGACTTTGCTAGAATACAGCTCAGACAGAACCACATCTGAGGACTTCCAGTGCATCACATCTGGAAAGTTCCAGAAGGCTGCGTCACCTGTGGCATCCTGACCTTGGTCATGGGTGGCATGGCACCTGGACAGGTCCCAGTGGATGGCGGTGACCACTGAGGTCACTTACGGAGGGCAGTCCAGTCTCTCCAAGTTAAACCACAACACTGTTGTCCTCCACAATTGTTCATATTTTAGATACAAAACATTCCTCAGCCTCTCCTAACTTCACAGCATTTGAAATCTTCCTTCCAAAGAAACAATGCTTCTTCTTCCAACAGGGCACGAGGTCCATGCTCATCTCAGGAGTCCCTCCTCCTGGCCTGCCGATGTTCCCTACGGGCTGCCAGGAGGCTTATGTCTGCCCTCCGTCGGCTCTGCCCAGGGCCCGTCCATTCTCTTCCTCTCTGGGGTCCTTGTCTTCACCAAGTGCCACCGTAGGGAGGTCATCTTCGTATGGCACGTAAATGCCACCTTTCCCCTGGTTCTCACAGTAAACACATTCCTTAAAAGACAAGGGGAGACAGTCACAAAGCTGAGGTCAGCCACAAAATCGCAGTTCACTGTGCACAGGCCCGGAGCGCCCCTTGCTCAGGTGGCAAGAAACTGAGGCAGAAGGGCCTGGGGTCTGGACGCGTCCTAGGGGGCCATCGCTGGCTCTCAGAGGGGACAAGCAGGCCAGCACGCTGCTTCCCCCAGGCCAGCCCCCCAGGCCAGCAGGCCCCTGCACTGCAGCAGCTTTGTGTAGTGAGGGGTGCGGTAACAGCAGGCTTCAGGCCAAGTCCTTTCTGCTGCTGGGACCTACCTGACTGAACTCAGTCTTCCAATCTGTAAAATGGGGCGGCAGTAATGAACCTGTCTCACTGAGGTGTTCCCCACCTGCCTCGTGAGCAGCTGTGCTTCCGAACACTGCGAGCTCAGAGATGAACAAGACACACAAGACCCTTGCTCTGGGGGTGACCCTCCAACAGGGCAAAGGGTGAGAAACTGAGCGAGAGCGTAACTGCTGGTCTTTTTCAGGAAAATAAATGCCTGATTTTAGATCAGCTCTCAGAGGGGAGGCCAGTGCAGTGCAGACAGCTCCACGGAGGAGTCCAGGCTCCCACCCCCAGGACCGCATGGGGCGCTCACCTGCACGTCCATGACCATGGGCAGGCCGCCTGCATGCACCCAGGGGTGGACTTCACGCAGCTCCTGCTTCTGGGCCTCTGAGAACTGGGGCTGGAAGCGCTGCAGAGCCCGCAGCTTCTCCCTGTCCTCCTTCAGGACCGCAGCTGGGTCCCTGCCCAGACACAGCAGACGGTTAGGGGGTGTCAGAGGCTTTGGGGTGTAAGAACGAAGACCCTCCTCTCCTGCCAACACTTCTGACACTAACAGAGCTGGTGCAGATGGTTGTTTCATGCAAATGTCACCCTGTGCACAGTAACTGAAGCCCAGAGGTCACCTGCAGCTTGTGCCCTAGGATGCTTCTCTGCGTCATCAAGCAGCAGGCCTGCAGTGGGGTGCCACGCCCCAGGCTGGCTTAGTGTCCCCTCGGGCCACTGGCCTCAGCGTGTACAATGTGTTCTGGAGGGTTTTCAATTGGCTGCATTCCAGAAGCACACAGCTCTGGGGGTCTTTCTTCTGAGGAAACCCAATGTGCACTTGAACCCAACACCCTTCTGTTTGTAACTGGAAGTTTCTCTACTTGGACTCCTGGGTTCAGCATCAAAATACCAAACGAAGCCCACTGCCCTGGAGTCTAGCTAGCGGCGCCTGCGTTACAAGGTGCGGCCAGGCCCTGCAGGGTGTTCTGGGCCACAGTCTCCAGGAAGGAGACCAGCAGCTCCTTTTGGGGCTGCCTGGTGGACCTGAACCTCTAACATTTCTGTTGGCCGCTCAGTCTGAGCCGAGTGCAGCCTTCAGGGACCCCTGGCTCCAACAGGCATCACCGACAGAGGCCCTGGCTGTACACATAGCCAGCAGAGTTGGCATCCCCGGCCACTGGCCAGAAGGCACCCACTGCGAGGCCTGGACATCTGGCTCTTCTCTCTCAGGGGCCCCTCCTGTCTCCATTTCTCCCAGATCCCTCGGCCGTGGGGTGTTCCGCAGGGTGCCTTGGCCTCCTTGTTAACAGCCTGACGTAGCATCAGAGTCCAGGCCAAGACTCCCTAGGCTGGCCACCACCGGGACCCTAAATCATTCCTCTCCCAGCCCACGACCCCACAGGAGATGACGTCTGCACACGTGCTGTGTGCATGTGAGGTGCCAGCCCCTGGGGACTTGGGGACCCTGCCCCAGACAGGGTAATGGTCTGCCGAGCCCCCACAGCTGCGCTCACAGGACAAGTGGCTCACTGGGGGTCCTTGCCTCTTCATCTGCTGCCCCTAAGAAGCCAAGCTGGTCTTTAGAGGACGCCTCCCCTCAGCCTGTACTTGGGGCACCCCTCGCTCGGCCGTTCCTGCTCTGTGGCACAGGAGCAAGGCTTACCGGGCAGGCATCTGGTAGGTCATCATGGTGCTCTTGTCTACGTCGGCCAGCAGCAGCCAGATGGGGTCCTGAAGGGTGCCCTGGAGGGGACGGCCAGGCTCACCCACACCCGCGCCTGTTCTCGCTCTGCGCTGGTTCTCCGACGAGTCAATGCTGCCAAAGTACTTGCTGGTGTGGCCCGTGTCACTGCTGCCTTTAAAACACAGAGCACGCTCACTGGAGCCCATCTCGCAGGACAGAGCGTGAACAGGACTGACAGTCACAGAGAGGGGGTGAGGGGCGTGGGTGGCCTTCCCCTGCCTGCCTGCCTACTTCCCTAGTTAGCTGGTGCTGTGGACACAGATTTCAGCTGGTGCCACAGAGGCCAGTGTCCACGGAGGAAGCTGGGGCAGAGCAGGGGCACGCTGTACAAATCGGAGCCGGGTCTTAGGAAGCCCTTTGTGCCCCAACCCAAGGCCAATGAGTCTGTGCCCCAGAGACTCCCCAAGGATCTGATCCTACAGGAGTGGGCAGCCACTTCTTCCTGCACAGGGTGGCTGGTGGGTTAGAACCACTGACCTCTTAGTTAGTAGTGGGGTGCCTTAGCCACTGAGCCACTAGGATGCCAGGTGACTGTTGTTAACAGAAAGGAAAGCCGTCCAACCTAGGGAGGCAGCCTTTGTGTGCTCCTTCAGGGTTCCCGAGGTCTGTCCCAGTGTCTGTCTGCACCTACAGCCATAAAGCCAGACCCACAGCTGCAGATTCGCTTCAGCTTAGAGACCCTCCTGGCCAGGGCGCCGCCTGGAGCGCCCTAGGCCGCTGCGTCAGAGCTGACGGTCACGTCTGTGTCTCACAGTGGTGAGGGGCTCAAACCTCCATGCTTTCACACAGCCGTGGAGCACCCCGAGCGCTGTGTCACCTGAGCCCTAGCACCTGTTCTGGGGTCAGCGTGACTGACCGAGGGGCCCCAGTGAGTCACTGCCTGACCAAGGGAGTGTGGGGACCAGATCATGTGCTCCTCAGGTGGACTCACAGGTGGCAGGTGCCCAGGGAAGTGTCTGGCCTTGCTTGAGGGCAAGTGCGCTGCTGGTGGAGTCTGCCTGGGCCCAGCCTCTCTGGTGGTTCGAATCCACCAGTGGCTCCAAAGAACAAAGACGGGCAGGCTCCTCCTGTGGGTTTCACAGGCTCGGAGACGAAGGCTCAGCAGTGAGTCAGCTCCGACCAACCGCAAGGACACAGAGGGACGTGGTGCTGGACGTTCTGGGCACAGTCTAAAGCACTCTGACGAAAAGGGGGACAGCTTGGCCTGCCTGGGGGAGGAAGAAGAGGCAGTCTGCTCCCGCAAAGGCAGGCAGCCTGGGGACCCCCAGGGTGAGGGTGAGTGGACGTGACCTCTGTGGGTTAGTGCGGGGAAGGTGCCAAGGCTTCTCCAGGTGTGGAGCACGTGTGGTGAGCTGAGGGTGGCCCAGTCCTTCCAGCACCCAACCCTCGGCCACCTGGGGATTTCAATGCCTAGAACCTCAGGACGGAGCAGACCTGCCCTGGGTTTCCAAGCTGTAACCTGTATGAAGTTCAAGGCCTCACCTTCTTGGGGTGTGGCTGGTGGGTGGAAACCACTGACTTTTCAGTCAGCAGCTGAGTGTCCACCCACTGCACCACCAGGGCCCCACCTTTGGTCTGAGCGGGGTCACAGAGGAGGGTGCCCGTGCCCAGTGAGTGGGCAGCCGACTGCCAGCTCCACACACAGCACCAGGTGCTGTCGAGGGCCCTGCGGGTCAGACCAGAGCCGGGCTCACCATGCTTTCAGTACCTGGGCCTCTAGGACCTGCTTCCACGTGTCTTGGGGCCCTCTCAACCCTTCCAGCTAACTCTTTACATGATCCAAATTCCAAGAGTGGATGACGTTTCCCTGAAGGCATCTCAAGCCCTGACTCCTGGTGCCTGGGGCTGGGCCTGGAAGTCATGCTGGATGCAGCTGGTCCTGACCCAACTGAGAGGTGTCTTAGAAAACAGGAGGGACACAGATGGGGAAGACCCCGGTGGAACTACACTGCAGCGGCAAACACAGGGACACCTGGGGACACCAGAGGTCAGACAGGCCAGCAAGGACCCTCCCTAGAGTTCTTAGAGAGCGTGTGGGCCTTCAGACACCTCCAGAACACAGACATGGTGTGCTCTCGTCAGGCACCTACTCCGCAGTACTTTGTTATCCAGCCCCGGGAGGGGACCATGTTGGCCACAGCCTGCTGGCCTCAAGAGGAGTCTCATACACGGAAGGGACCATGGCCCAGCTAGCTGACTGGCCTCAGGGCCGGGGGAATCCTGTGCATAAGAGGGCAGGGCCCGTCAGCAGAGATTTCCAGGGATCTGAAGCGGGTTTGGGTTGGAGGACAAATGCATGCATTTCTAGTATCAAGACCACGAGCCGTGAAGTCCACACAGTACTGCAAAGTGGGACAAATTCAGGGAAGGCAGTTTCTGGTCCTTTGGGGTAGCCTAGGAGATTTTAGGGGCCTATGAGGGGCCAGGGTGAGGCCTGGGGTTACACTGGTGACAGACACAAGCTGGGAAGGCCTCACTGATGGGAACCTGCAGCTGGGAAAGGGCAGGTGAAGAGGTGCACTTGACCCTATGGGGCAGCCACATGCCACGTGTAGGGAGTTCAGGTACCTCATGGTGGGAGCATGGACTGAGCCCTGTCCGCCCTCATGGGCCTGCACCTGATGCTCCCTGGGCAATGGTCAACCTAGGACATGCATCCCCGCCCTGAATCCAGAGACAACCCCCACACCCCTGACCCAGGCATGGATGCACCCACATACCTGTCCCGCTCCCAGATGCAGTGCAGCCCAGTGACCCGGAGCCCAGAGAGTCCGAGGCAGCGGAGGCCCCACTCCCTGACAGGGCCGAGCCCGCAGCTGAACACAGGTCCTCATGCAGGAGCAGGTCAAGCAGGTCACTGGACGTGGACAGGGCATCGCTGTGCTGGGCCTCTGAGGGCACACGGACCTGGAGGAACAGAGAGACGATGTCAGTGTTGATGGTGAGATGTCCCGAGACATGTGCTGGGCTGTGGTCCTGAGACACCCTTCACACGTGGACAGGGCCAGGACAGACCTATCAAGTGGACAGTGACACTGCGAGGGACGCATTCCCAGGACAACAAAGCGCCAGGACCAGAGGGCCCCAAACCACACTCCAAAGGCAGGAAGCACGAAGGGAAATGGGGACCTAGGAGGAGGCAGGAAACGGGCTGTCACACTGAGGGATGACACGCAGGTCAGAGGGCAACAGTGTGCAAACCACGGCTGTTGTTAGGTGCCAATGAGCCACGTATGACTCAATGACCCTATGCACAGCCGAATGGAACGCTGTTCTACCCAGAGCCCACTGCTGCAGTCACAGTGTCAATCTGTCTCGTTGGGAATCTCCCTTCCTCCGCAGACCCTCCGTCTTTCCAAGCTTGATGTCCATTTCCAAAGACAGCCTCGCCTCGCTGCTCAGAGTATGGGCCACAAAGCATCCATTTGCTTCCAAGGAGCACTCTGCTGCACTTTTCCAAGATCTCTGTTCTTCTCTTGGCCATCCATGGGATGTTCAGTGCTCTTCTCCAGGACCTCAGTCCAAAGGCATCAAGTCTCTGTCATCTTTATTCACTGCCCAGCTCTCTGAGGCGTAGCAGGTGACTGTGAAGACCATGGCCTGAGTCAGGCACACCTTAGTCTTCAACACAACACCACTGCTCTTCAGCATTTTGGAGAGGTCCCTGACAGCAGACTTGCCCAATGCAATGCATCTCCTGATTTCCTGACTGCTGGCAGCAAGTGTGTTGATTGTTGAACCATAGTTAAAATCATGAAAAAGTTCAATGTTTTCTCCATCTATTGTAATGTTGACTGTTGGTCCTGTGGTGAGGACCTCTGTTGTTTTTTTTTTGTTTTGTTTGGATATATTTTATTTTATTTTTTTATAATTTTAATGAACATTTACAGAGAATTTGGATTTCCATTCATTCATTGCTGTACTTCTCTACCCGCCCAGCCCTCTCCCCCCGCCCCCCAGTTCGCTCCTCTCTTTCAAAGGTAAAAGAAAGACTCCCTCCCTGGTACACAATCCCCCCGCACCCCTCCCACCACCCCAAGTACATCCCAGCATGCAACCTTAATTGTGGACTCTTTTGATAACCATAATACCCTATCATACATCGCTTTTAAATTATTCTCTCCCTCATCTGTTTCAGTGCAGTACATACAATTTATCCAGTTTTTCTCAGTCTTACCCCCACCCTGATATCAGTCCCATTTTACAGCAGTGGCACCATGCAATATTTGTCCTTTTGCGACTGAGATATTTCACTCAGCATAATGTCCTCCAGGCTCACCCATTTTGAATAATATTGAATGAGTTCCTTGTTTTTCAATGCAGCGTAGTATTCCATTGTGTGAGTATACCACAGCTTCTCTATCCATTCGTTTGTTGATGGGCACCTGGGTTGTTTCCAACTCCTTGCTATTGTGAACAGAGTTGCAATAAACAGGGGTGTGCATTTATCTGCTTGGATGTCAGTTATGGTCTCTTTGGGATATATTCCCAGTAGTGGAATTGCGGGGTCAAATGGTATCTCTATTTGCAACTTTTTGAGAAAGCGCCATACTGCCTTCCACAGTGGTTGCACCATTTTACACTCCCACCAACAGTGAATAAGGGTTCCAGTGTCTCCACAACCTCGCCAGCCAGCATTTGATGTTTGCTGTCCTGTTAAATTTTGCTATTCTGACTGGGGTGAGATGGTATCTCATAGTTGTTTTGATTTGTATCTCTCTTAGAGCTAGGGATTTTGAACATTTCTTCATGTGCTTGTTAGCCATCTGAATGTCTTCTTTGGTGAAGTGTCTATTCATATCCTGTCCCCATTTTTCTATTGGATTATTTACCTTTATTTTGTTGTGGCGCTCAAGTATTTTATAAATTCTAGATATAAGTCCCTTATCTGACATGTCATTACGAAATACTTGTTCCCAGTCTGTGGCTTCCCTTTTTACCCTGTTGGAGAAGTTTTTGGATGTGTATAGGGATTTGATTCTTAGAAGGTCCCATTCATCTATTTTATCTTCTCCTGGTTGTAGATAGGACCTCTGTTTTGATGTTGTGATAGAATCCACACCAAAGGCTGTAGTCCTTGATCCAGGTTTCACACACAGATGCCGTGCTGTTTCCAGACTGGAGTTGTGTGGCTGTCCAGCACGGGGAGCACAGGCATCAAATCTTTTTTTTTTGTTCGTAAACTTTGGTGTCATATATTTGCATCAAATCTTTTTCAACAGCACACGCTCACTTTGTCTCTGACACCTGTGAGTCATTCTCGGAAAATGTCAACCTTCTTCTCGATGAGATCACTCGCTTGACAGACACTCTGCCCCATTCCCCCATCCCATCCCCCCACTGCCTTGCAGCTAATTCCGGGGACCTTCCATCATCTCCACTATGGCAACCTAGTTTCAGTTTCCAAGAAGAGACTCATGTTTATTATTTGAGTGGCTGCGGGATTTGAACTTATGACTGTTCAATTAACAGCCTAACATCTACTATAGACGACATTATGGTCTGATGAAAACAGCTTTTCTATGTGCCAGGATTCCGAAGAACTTATGTAACACGCCTAATCGAGTTCTTTGTTGGAATGGGCTATGGCACTTCCCCTCACTGTCCGTGTCAGTTCTTTAAAGTTGCCTGTGCCGGACACTTCTTACGGCGGCCCTAGGACACTCAGCTGGGGACACCACGTTGTGACATGTGGAGACACTGAGTGAGCAGGGAGTGTGGGGTGCGAGGGTCTGCAGGGGTGGCTGCCGAAGCCAGGTCACAGCTGCAGATAGTGCTTCTGTAAAGACAGCACATGTCAGCTCCTAAATTACACCAACAAGGCTCTGGGCCCCGGGAAAGCCGGAGCTGGGCACCTGGCACTGTCCTGCATGTGCCCTCCTCTCCAGGGGCGGCACACTCGGCTGTTAAGCCGGTGGTGAGTGGTTCCAGTCCACTAGCTGGTCCTCAGGAGAGAGCTGTGGCGGTTGGCCTGTGTAGACTGTTGCCGTGGTGGGCTGTCAGCTCCCAGCCAACCGCAGCCGCTCCTCCAGCCGGTTTTCAGAGACTGTAACTTGCTGGCGAGGAGACTGCCATTTTCGTCCTGTGGAGCAGCTGGTGGATTTGAACCATATGCCTTTGGGATGGGAGCTCCACGCTGTACCACTAGGCCACTGCATGTAGAGATGAGCCCCCTGGAAACCCCGCTGGGCAGTCCCACCCTGTCCGAAGTCCACCGGGAGACAGAATCACACGATAACGGGTTAAACTCTGAATGTTAACTTTTTCACCTTTTAAATGAGTCTAACAACACTGACATGAGCCCTGGTGGGACAGTGATTCACCCCTGGGATGTTGACCGAAAGGGTAGTGCTTTGAACCGACACCAGCATTTCCACCAGAACTCACTGCCCACCGCCCGGCCCCTCACGCCGCACCTGCTGCCACTTACAGTCAGCCTTGCCTGCGCTGGGGGATCTTGGGCTGCGGCTGGCTTGGCATCAGGGCCCACGGCCGTGGCTCCAGCAGTGCCCATGGCCGCAGCACTCCCCTCAGGGGTCTCCTCCAGCTGCAGCAGGTTGAGCTGCAGGGGTGAGCTGCCTCGGGACTCGAAGAGCGGTGGGGAGGTACGGCCCACAGGCCCGGTGGCCGAGGATGGGGTGGCAGGGGTGGCCGCACGCTCGGGCCAGGGACAGGCACATGGCTGAGCGGGGAGTGGGGTCCGTGTGGAAAAGATGGGCTGTGGGGTGAACATTGTCTCGGGGTGGCTCAGAAAGGGAGTCTGGCCAGGGAAGTAGGGCTGGGACAGGCTGGGGGCCACGGTGGGGAAGGGGTAGCCAGGCAGCACGTACGCCATGACTGGAGCCAGTGGGGCTGTAACAGCCACGTCGGCCTGTGGACCCACAGGCACTGAGTAGCCAGTGTGGGGGGTTGAGGGGGCCGCCACCGGCCCTGGCACAGGGAACATGGGCAGGGGATAGGCTGGCATGGGCCCAGGGAAGGGCGGAGCTGTGCAGCTGGACTGAGATGTGTCCGATGGGGACCAGGGGGTGGCACTGAGGCCAGCGAGTGGGACACGGGCGGGTGCTGGCCCTCCGGATGCTGTGCTCCCCGACGAGTCTCGGGACTTGGCCCATTTGGACTTCAGGTTACGGTTCTTCCCGGGTTTCTTCCATGACGGGTGTGACCCAGGAGTGTTTCTCAGTCCGGCAGTGGCTACGGGGAGGAAACAGCCCAGGTTAAACATGGCTTCAACGCCACGGCTCCTGCCCTGTCACGTCTCAGGGCCAGCAGAACTGGACAGCACCTCCACCGTCCACCTGTCCCCCACGAAGTCCGCCCACCTCATGGCAGAGACCAGGCCCAGCCTGTCCACTGAATGGACCACAGGCTATGATGAGCCTCTGGGCCTGGGGGCACGGGACCACTGTCTCGGGGTGCTGAGGTAAAGTGGGCTGGACACAGGGATGGTGCCCTTCAGCCCAGCACAGGAAGCGTGACTAGCGCTTTAGAAGCTTGCGTGAGGGCAGCTATGGTGTCTGCAGGCATGGGAGGAGAGGGGGGTGAGAGACATCCTGATGGGGGTGCAGCCTCTCCTTTCACAGATGAGGGCTGCAGTTGGCATCAAGAGGGGCAGTGTGTATGGAGAAAGCGAACTCTCACGGTGAACTTCCACTCACATCTCAAGAAAGACCCAAAGGACTACTCAGAAATGGGAAGCAGGGCCCTGGGGGCATATCTTGGGGCTCAGGGGAGAAGGGGTGTGTGTCTCTGGGGGTGTCTTGGGGTATAGGGCCTTGGGGGACATGTTTTGGGGTTCAAGGAAGCAGGATCCTGGTCATACATAGCTCTGATTCTGTGATGGAGCCCAGGGAACAAGGTCGAGGGCATCTCTGGGGTCATCATATCGGGGATGTCTGGACCCAGGAAAGAGGTGAGGAAGCTTGTCTGCTCTGCTTCGTCCTGTGACCTTGAATCACCTGGTGGCTCTTGGCATCAAGGAGGCTCTGCTCGCCCTTAGAGTCCAGCTTGGCCCTGAAGGTGGCCATGCAGGAGGGCAGGACTCCCTCGTCCAGGGGCCTGACCCCAAATACGCATCAGCACCACCATGGCCTGACCTGCTCTCCAAGAGGCCAGTGTGGGCGGGCAGGAAGGGTCTCTTGTCCCATGGGAGGGAGCATGCAGACAGAGGTAATTTTCCCTGGACATTGCAAGGAGAGTGAGGAGGCAGCCAGCATCTGTCCCCACAACTTCCCTGGGGACAATATATGTCCCATAGACGGAAGGTTCCACAGGAATGGACTCTGGCACAGTGGTGTTCAGATAGCTGTCCCCTCAATGAGTTTCCTAAACTGGTGACATTTCACAGTTTCTGGTATTGATTTGGGACCAGAGCTTTGAACTGGCTCGACACAGGGGAGCGGTCCAGACACAGAGTGCCAACCTGCTGCCTGAAAGATTTAGACTCAAGGACAAAACAATACAATTCCTCACCCCTGGACCACAGGGAGCTCTGGTGGCCTAGTAGGAAGGAGCCGTCCTGCCATCCCAGAGGCACAAGGTTCAAACTCACCAGGGGCTCTGCTAGAAAAGGCTGGACAATCTCCTCCTGTGCGAGTCACTACCTCTGAGAAGCCCCAGGAGGGCCAGTTATGAGTTGGTTCTGATTCGACAGCAGCAACTAGACTATTAGGTAGCATCACTACGAATCGAGAAGAGACTCAAACTGTCAAGGAATTAATTCTACTTGGATCCACAGGCAACACCCATGGACGCAGCAGTCAAGAAATCAGATGTGCTGCAATGAGAAAGTCTGCCTCCAAAGACCTCACCAAAATGCTAACGAGCAAGGATGTCAATATAAAGACTAAGGTGCACCTGACTGTACCTCCTATGCATCTGTGAGACAGACGATGCGTAAGAACGAGGAAAGGAGAATGGATGCCAATGAGTGTGTATGAGAGAGAAGCCCCAAAGGGATGAAGTTGTGGGGCCTGCAGGTACGCAGCTTGAGCCCACTCACCGCGCTCGCTTGGGGGCCCCTGCGGGAGGCAGTGGTGGCATCTGGACGGCAGTACGCCGAGTTTGCGCATCTCCTTGAACTTGTGCAGGAAGCTCTGCTCCTCCTTCTGCGTGTGTACAGCTAGCACCTCCTTGGTGAGGCCCACCTTCTTGAACGGCTCCTTCTCGGGGCCCAGGCTCAGTGCAGGGCCGGCCGGGCTGTCCAGGGACTCGGGGCCACTCACGACGTCCTCCACCATTTCTAGAACAGAGACCGAAGACCTGCTGACTACACAGCCACTTCTGCTTTTAGGATAAAAACCCAGGCTGTGCAAAGCCGGCAGACATTATGTGACACTACCTGCATGAACTAGGGGAGTACAGGGACGCTCCAGACAGCTGGACTCACCGGACTGCCTTTCTAAAAAGCAGCTCTGGTGGTCCAGCACGTAATGTGAAGTGCTAGTGGCAAGGTCAGTGGTTTGAATCTGCCAGCCACTCCCCAGGAGCGACACGGACAGTCGGCTCCTGAGAAGCCTTTCAGCCTCCGCAGCCCATGACGGGGTGCAAGGGCGTGGAACTGCCTACTGGCAGTGGGGATGGTTCCTCGCGCCGCCTTTTTCTGGGTCTCATGTGTTTCTGCTTTGGATGGATGGAGTCCCACTCCCCTGGAGCTCTGGCGGTGGACAGCACTGGAGTCTTCCTCTCTGACGGCACCCTACTGTTTACAGAGGTCATGAGAGGTGCTGCCTCTTACTGTACAGAGACCAGCGTGGTTAGTGGGCACTGGGGTGTGGGGAGGACGAGTCCATGCCTAGGGGCATCGAGCTTCCCTCCGGTGACGGAACCAGCAAAGGGCGCATGGTGATGGCTGTGCGGCACGTTCAACGCTATGAGGCAGGCCCATCTCTCCCGTCGCCCTGGTGGCCTAGTGGGAAGAGGCTGTTCTTCCCGCCTTTGGACAGGTGGTTTGAATGCACCAGCTGTTCTACAGGAGGACGGGCAAGCTCCTCATGTGCAGACGACAGCCCTGAAGACCTGGAGGGCCAACTAGGAGGTGCTTCTCACTAAATGGCATAAACAACACCACACACGGGTGAACTGAGACGGGCCTCTGTGGGAGAACTTAGAACCATCAACCACAGAAGTGAAAGGCCAGCATCTGCACAGGGAGGAAGCTCAGAGTCAGGAAGGGAGAGGCCAGAGGAAATGGGAGACTCAAGGAGGGAGGGAGCAGAGTGCTGCCACGTTGTGGGGACCCCCAACCATGCTATGAAGTGGGTGCAAATGACTGAACAGCAAATCACTTTACTCTGTAAACTTTCTCCCAAATCATAATTAAAAAAGCTTAGAAATGATGAACATTAAAATAGTTGAAGTGGCAAATACTCTTCTGTGTATTTTTTTTTACCAAAATAAAACAAGCGAACTGAGACAGCACCATGTAAAATAACTCATAACCACAGTACAGGATGGACATCGCCACGTCCAGTGTCATGAACAAGGACAGCCTAGCACCTTGGGTCTCCAGCTCGGCCAGTTCTCCTGGGACACACTCGCCTTTTAAGGACTCAGGTGCTGGGAGCATGCAGACCTGGGGTGGCCACACCAGCTGCCCAGAAAGGATGTGGGGCTGATGCTGGCACCGCAGGTGGGCCTCCTCTCCTTCCTTCCCGCCTCCTTCTCCTCTCCTCATTCTTCTTCCTTTTAACTTCCTCCTTCCCAGGAAAGAGGAAATCCTGGGGTCAGGGCTAACCAGGGCATTAGAAGAACAAGGAAATCCAGCAAAACCCACAACCCTGTCAGCTAGGCCTCTTGCTGCAACCCGGCTCTGGCTATGTTCCAACAGCAGGGGTGCAAGAGAGGAAAGCTGGGGTCTTACACGAGGCAGGGCTGGAGGGGGAAGGGGTAAGCAGTGGCCCTGCGGCTATGGCTATGTTCCAACAGCAGGGGTGCAAGAGAGGATAGCTGGGGTCTTACAGGAGGCAGGGCTGGAGGGGGCAGGGGGACGCGGTGGCCCTGCGTTCTGCAGCACCAGCCAAGGAGACGTCCTGAACTGCCCAGTGCTGCCAGCCGGGGATGGACGCAGGACCACCATCGGCCTCTCCCTCGGCAAGCAGTGATGCACACCTTCCACTAGGTGGTGCTGAAGCGCAGGGCTCAGCCTGGGCCCAGCTTTGAATTGGGGCTGCCTGGGCCCCATCTTTTATGTGACTGGCTCTGGACCTCACTGCTGGGCTTGTAGGGTTCTTCTGGCCTTAAATACACATTTTTATGGGAGTGAAAATGTACAGAATGCATTTTCCAATTCACTCTTCTGTCCAGTCAGTTACATGTCCTGTGACCCTCCACTGTGCTCTGGGGCTTGAATCTTTAGGGCTGGAAACTGCCCATTTCTCTCCTGTGCAGTGGCTGATGGATCTGAACTGTTGGCCTCTCAGTTAACAGCCCCACACACTGCGCTGTGTCACCTGAGCTCCTTTCCCTATGGACTTATTCTACTGTGGTTGCTGTTCTATGCCTTGCAGATGCTGAGGTGTGCCCGGCACGTCCCTGTCCCCTTGGCACGTCCCTGCGCCCGGCACGTCCACGAGCCCTTTCCCCAGCACCCCATGCTGTCGTGGTCTGTGCCCCTTCTTGGACATTCTCACGACACTCCCAACTTCTTCATCTTGCTGCTGTCTACACCAGGAGACTACAGGCTAGTGTCAGCAGCACCCCTTGATGCTAGGAACCTCAGAAACGTGTGCCTGCTTTCCTGGGCTTCCCGGTTCCCTGCAGGGTCCCAACGCTACTGTCCCTGCCGAGTGTTCCTCCCACAGCGGTCAGCTCTCCCAGATGACGCTCCTCCTCCCTGGCCCCCACGGAATGCTGGGCTCGCTCTGCTTGCTGTGCAGTGTCCGCCTTCTTACGACGGGCAGGCACCAGCTTATTGGGAAAGGCGATCCTCCGGTGCCACCCTGGCCCCACGGACCTGGCTCGGGCTGCAGCTTCTTGTCGCCGACGTGGACGATGGTGCTGCTGTAGCTGCACTGGCTCGTGAGCGACATGACGCTGTCAGCCTTGTGGGGCAGCGCCAGCGGCGGCAGGTGCGCGCTGACCTCGGCGGGGCCGTCCACCTTGGACTTGAGCAGGGCCGTGTGCACTTGTGAGGCTGCTCCTGGGAGAGGAAAGGGGTCAGACGTGAGCACGCAGAATGGGCAAATGGCCACTATCAACACCATAGGTCCAGGCTGCCCACAGGACCGCGAGGGCCTGGCCCCAGGCCTCCTGACCTTGGGCACGAGGCTGCCTGGTCTGGGGTGCGGGTTCACAGAGGTGGGGCAATGACAATCTGAAATGGGCTACTGTGCACGTGAACCTGACTCCTCAGTGACCCCAGCTTGGCAGAGGTCAGTAGCCATTGGGAGCTTTCCAGGTACAAGGCCTGAGAACCTCCAAAGGGGCGCTGGTGGCCCAGCTGTGAATCAAAGATTGGCAGTTTGAACCCATCAGCTACCACAAGGGAGATTAACGAGGGGGCGCTTCCTGAGGAGACGCCCAAGTTCACTGCTGCTGGGTGGGAGCCACCTCAGCTGACCCTCCTGCCGGTTTTCAGAGACTGGACATCACAACATCACATAGGAGGAGACTGTCCATCCTTCTCCCCAGGGGTGCTGGGGGCCCGAAGCACCAGAGGGGCTTGGCCTCTGCACTGTGGCTGTTGTTACACAGTCAAGCTGAGCACCGTATGAACAACAGACAGGAACCCCGTCCCGTCCTGTGCCACCCTCCCCACCTCCGACACCCTCCGTCCCATCTGTGAGTCTGTCCTCACTGTCCATGCCACCCTCTCCAC